GGGCTGAGGTGAGTGGATTGCTTGAGCCTGCGGGTTTGAGACCCGCCTGGGCAACTTGGCGAGATCTCATCTCTACAATAAAAAAAAAAAAAAAAAATTATCCGGGCGTGGTAGCGCACGCCTGTAGTTCAGCTACTTGGAAGGCTGAGGTGGAAGGATCGCGGAAGCCCAGCAGGTCGAGGCTGTGGTGGCCCAGAGCAGCCACTGCACTCCAGTCTGGGTGACAGAGTAAGACTCCAACTCAAAAAAAAAAAAGAAAATTGAGCTCTGACTCCACCCTGGGCCAGCCTTTGGGCTCCTCTTGGACAAATTCGGGTCAAGTTTAAGCCTTCCAAGTTCTAACAAGTGAGGCCTCCCTCCCAGCCCCAGCCTCTTGGCTGGTGCTTTTGAAGGGTTTCCCAAACCTGAGCTCAGAAGTCTGGGGAATTCTCTCTCACCCAGGCTCTTGCCAGCTCATCACCCTTCTCAGTTTCACTTCCCCAAGCTCCAAAGAGTGGAGCAGGGACACTGAAATCTGAATTCACAAAATTGTCAGCTATCACAAAACAGTATTCGTTTGGTCGCCCCCCCACCCCATAACTATTTAAAAATGTCAAGACCACGCTTAACTCAGAGATTTGGCCCGGAAATGGAGCTCGTCAGCCCTCGCTTTAGCCGAAGCTGGTTGCTGTGATCCTGGGCATACCGCAATCATGACTAAACCTCCTCCTCCCTGACAGTTTGCACAATTTGCCATGTGTTGCCTCATTTGCTTCTCATGACCCATGTAGGAGTTACTGTTACTTTCATTCTACATCTATTGAAAGCGAGGCCCAGAGATGACATCACACCAAAGGAAGTTCCTTCCTGGGTCTGGACAGACCTCTGGGCCCTTCCGACACTCAATTCAGAGCTCCATTTCCAGACCTGGGAGTTTTTCATGCCAGTGGCCCCTTATCACTGATAGTGTATGACCTAGTTTTATCAGGTACTTGAATAAGTACTTTTGTCTTTTTTTTTTTTTTTTTTTTTTGAGTCGGAGTCTCACTTCATTGCCTAGGCTGGAGTGCAGTGGCACACTCACGGCCACCCCAGCGACAACCTTCTGGGCCCCGGCGATACTTATGCCTCAGCCTTCTGAGTAGCTGGAACTACAGGCACATGTTACCATGCCTGGCTAATTTTTTTTTTTTTTTTGACTTGGAGTCTCACTCTGTTGCCCAGACTGGAGTGCA